CCAAAATGCTTAATTCAAGTTTATTACACTTGTATAGATTTTCCTTTTTTGCAGTATAGTAACTGAGCCATTTGGTGGCAGAGCTACAGGGATCCAGATAACCTGCTGTTCTGATTATAAGGGCAGGTTAAGCCCAATCCCAAAGTTAAAAGTCTTAAAAGCTCACAGCTGCAGGTAATTAACAGCAAATTGGACAGAGGTATTCAGTTTTCTGTGTCCTCATGTTGACTTTGAGTTGAAGATGATCTGATGAGCTGCAGGACTTTTCAACAGGAAAAATCGCCTCCTGCAGTTTCCATAACAGAGAAGAGAATTGTCTCTCTGCTGCATGTCAACAGCAGACACAGAGAAGCTTTAAGCAGCTCAGCCACACCGATACCGGAGAGGAGAGCGAGACATCCAGACGTCCGATTGGCTGACATTCTGCTGCTCTGACATTTAACAAAGAAGAGGACTAATGAGGAGCAGAAACAGGGATGTCAGCTAATCGCCTCTATCCATCCATTAGAGCCATCTAATGTATCCCGAGCGGCTGCAGATTTGTTCACCTTCACGTCCTGATTAGAGCTCAGACTCATAGAAACAGAATCCTGATGGAGCATGTCCACTGGCTCGTCCACTGAAGCATAAGGAGATTGCATTCTTTAGAATTAATCCTCCTTCAATTTCCTTGTCAATCTTCTCATCCATGGTATGAGAACAGAAAACTGCGCAGAAGCTTGGAGACACAGGCTAAAACAACATAGCAGCAAGACTTAGGTTTAAATAAAGCCCAATACTTCTGGAACAAATTACCATTTTTCTCCTATTTCTAATCTCCTCTCAGGTATAAATGCATTTTACGAATGCCCCAGACTTGACATAGGAGCATGGAGGTAATTTTTTGGGGGGACATGTCACTAATGTCACTGGTGAAACTCACTAATAATATTGTAATGCCCTCAGATAATTGACTTGTATCTGTATTTGTCCTGTCAGATCTCAGTGTTGCATTTGACACAGTT